TGCTTATGGTTAAAAAGCAAACCAAATATTGCCAGTCTATTTCAAGAGATCAAAATAAGGGAAATCTTCCCTCTTTAGCTTGATTTATTACTACGGATAAATTTGCCATTAATCCATGGTGTAGTGCAGTCTTACTATAATTGTGCACACTGCGCACGCATGATATATGATATTGTAATAAGAATCGTCAATAACGCCATAGTGAAATTATCTGGTGCAAATTGGACTGCAATAAAAGGATAACCGACAATCCACCGTTCCACGTGTAGGAACATCGTGAAACGGCCCATGCAAAGCAGGCTCTAACGGTTGTCCATGAAAGGAACAAATTTGCTCCTGGCTGGGACTGTTCTGGGTAAAGTCTCTTTCAAGTATTTTCTCAGGAACGTGTGTTGACTTGCAGCGGCGCTCCGCAGCTGCGGATGCCTGCGTCGCTGACGCAAATGCCGTGCCTTAATTTGTCGGGAATCATTTGTGCAGAAGGAATTCCCCAAGACAGCTAATTGATTCCCTATAGTTTCCTTTCCTTAGCGTAGTTTCTTTGATTTCCTTAAAATTCTGTAACAAGTTTGTTTGTGACGTCACAGTCACAGATGTAGAACGTTCGTTCCTTGAAAACGCTGCATTAACACTACGCCTTCGTAAGTTATTTCTTTCGCAGGAAAAAATTATTCGAAAAAAAAACGTATATTGTCATACATCGATTTGCAAAATATCTCAATTAATTGCTGAGCATTTGCATATTATTACAATGACGAAGTTAATTTATGTGAAAGAATCGACCTCAATGACGAATTGACCAATAAAATGTCCCAAGGTTTTGATGCTTATCTAACACTGCACACAACTAAAAATACGCAAATTACTCGATCGAATTCACCTGTCGGACAATTCTCCGTCAGGACTCGCAGTAGATCTCCAAGTTTCATTGAACCTGGAATTAATATCTTCAAAATTATTGAAAGCAGCTCAATGAAATTTTGCACTTTCATGCACTACAAGATTTGCACTTCCATGCACCACATTTTACCCACAAAGAAGAGTCTCGCTATGAAATTCTTCACAATTCTAATCATTATTTGTCGGCAAATCTTTGTTTGAATCTAAGGAGGTACTATCAAACTATATATATCTTTATGAAGGAATACACGAATATATATGAATACACGTACAATGACAGTAACTCTCAGGACCAGAGCCGCACTATCAAAACTCGCTTGAGTTTATGTTGAGCTCATTTTTTTCGATTTCGCCTTCGTTTCCAACTTATATGGTCATACGGGCAAAAATTAACAGTAAACATAGCATAGTTTCTAAACTACTTAACAGATTCGAACGTAACATTGATTATACATTCTAATAACCTAACGGTGATGTTTGGGGAGGGCAAACATTTTCAATTAAGGCTTTATACGCGAGTTATTTGGCTGTACGGACAAGCAAGCAGCATTTCTACGGCTGATTTGTCCAATTTACAGTGAACCTGAAATATCTTCAAAATAATGAACGTAGCTCGAAACTTGCGGCATTTAAGGCTATGCGTGAAATCCAATACACAAACCTAATTTTATGAAGCATCATCTCTTCATTGCAGTTCACTTACGTCGCAATTGTTCGAGAAGTACTGAATTTCACTTCGTTGAGCAGCTGCAACTAAAGACGCGTATGTTCTACGCGTGCAACTAAAGACGCGCTCACAGTTCCGCGCATTGTAGCTGTTTCCTTCTCCGTGTCTACATTGACGTAAATCAAAATGCCACTGCTCAGATAATATTTCCACATTCTCCGAGCTCTGACACTGAAGGCCACCTCGTTTAGTTATTAAATCTGCGTTGCCAAGCAAGCTCGGTCATCGGTCGGCTATCAGACTGCCTCATCATCGCAGCTACTACATTTCATCAATAATGACTTAAAATAATTTTCAAAAGACGTAATTGATACAACAATAGAAGTAAAAATCTACAGTGAAGCTTTTTCGTTCAAAAACCAATGAATAAGATCTGTCGAGACAAACGTCATGGACAAGAGTCACGACTTCTTTGATGTTCTCATCAGTGGAGTTCATTTCGAGCTTTTGGCACATTCCAATACGCATTTCGTTTGCAGGCTCGCAATGCATAATTGCACGCTCTCCATCCTCGAAAGTAGAGAGTAAAGTAGCTGAGTCATGGCAGTACTTCCATGGCAACTTCGTCGCGTCCTAGGGCTACACAAAGACTGATGACTTCCTGGCACCTCTGATTCGATCATGCCGCTCACACTTCGGTAAATATATCTCCCGGCTGCAAAGGAATCTCTATGAGAGACACCGAATGAAGTCCGCACAAGAAAAGCATTATTAGTTTATGGAGTACGGCGACAGAAGCGCCTCTGGTCCTGCACAACCTGCGGTCCAAATCTGATGGCAACGACCGTTAGGATCGCCGCCGTTGTCAAGGCTGCTCCGCACCAGCGCCTCCGGCCAACCCCAGGATCGACACACCAGCAACCCAGCATTTAGTCACCCCAAAGCTTCCAATGATTTTTTTTTAATTTGCGCGGAGCCACGAATGAAGCTTTCAAAAAGTAAATTATTCTCAGCAACGCTTTTCAGACCCTGTCGATGGGAGCCTATTCTTTTTATAGGTCCTATTCTTTCCAGGATAGCATATTTGGGTACGTTGTACAGCGCATTTTACTTCTTACTTCACAACAATTGAGTAAGTTTATTTGAAAATTATACACATTTGATATTATGCCTAAAATATACACATTTTAACAGAAATATCTTATTAAATTTTTTCATTGAAATTTTCAACCAATTTCTAATTCGATGAAATTATTCAGTGCATCAAAGAATTTTCTCATAATTTTCTTGCGAAGTTCATAAGCTATAAGGACCAGAGGTTAAGAAGCGATGAAATTTATCTTATCGCAGTTCAACGGGCGCAAGAACGAGAATTATTTGCTACTCTTAATTCCATTGAAGTTGAACACGGAATGACATCATGAAACATTTATAATATAGAATATGGTGTTAAACTTAGAAAAAATGAGTAATTTGCATTCTGGGCCTCACGAAAAGAACATTGTAGCTACTGCATACATCTACAGTGCCCTTATTTGAACTATTCTTCGGGGGCTTCAGCCCTCATTAAATATTCCTATGCCCCTCTATAACTTCATGGTTTTTCTACATAATTAATTTTTTATTCGTATTTAACAAAAAATAACGGAAAAATTCAATTCAATCCGGCCTGAATATGTTTTTAAAATATTCATAATTACTTTTTTCATTTTTTTTTACTAAAAAATTACAGACAAATTCAATTCAATCCGGCCTGAATATGATGTTATTGTTATAATCACACACTAATACCTGTAGTTGATGCCGTACTGTATAAAGAGGTTGCTAGTTGATGGAATAGAACGTTCGCTCACATCCTATATTTATCGTGGGGACTCAGTCTCCCTTTTATTTAAAACCAAGTGACAACCCCGCATTTCTATAGATTTTTTAAGTATTCGAAAGCAGCAGCAAATAACCACTTCTTTAACATATAAAGAGCCTACGATAACCTTTCATTTTCGATGGTTTTATTAAAAACATACCATTGCAGATGCCGGTATATTTTTATGTTAAAGACTACCTCATGATTTTTTTATCATGCAGTCTTAAAATGGCCCCATAGGAAGAGGTCATATGAGGCCATGTGCACAGGTCACGCAGGACAAAATGATGCTGTCATTTTTATTCGTGTTCAACCGTCGAGGCTTGTGAGCGTGGCCATTAGAACAGTGCAATCCTGTCACTAGTTACAGTGCTAATTACCTCGCGTGTAGCGCTACTGTCACTAGTTACAATGCTAACTACCTCGCGTGTAGCGCTACTGTCACTAGTTACAATGCTAATTACCTCGCGTGTAGCGCTACTGTCACTGGTTAGTGCTACTTACCTCGCGTGTAGGCGCTACTGTCACTAGTTACAGTGCTAATTACCTCGCGTGTAGGCGCTACCGTCACTAGTTACAGTGCTAACTACCTCGCGTGTAGCGCTACTGTCACTAGTTACAGTGCTAATTACCTCGCGCGCGCCAGTGTCACATGAGGACAGTAAATTGTTTATAAATCGTAGTTGACACTAAACAATGTGGTTTATTGATCGTAGTTGATACTAGGAAGCTGTACTATCCGCCACTACTGTCCCCGTGTACAGGAGCATTTATAGCATCGTCAAGTCCTCGGCTAGATTCGGCGAATGAAGCCCAGGATGATTTCCCAAAAAACGTTATGGACAGAGCTTTATGTTTCTTCCTGAAGTACTTAATATGTGGCCTCAAACTGGTTTGGCATTTCAGACCTCTAATTTTATTTCGCCATCATTTCCAGACTGGACCGAAATTGTGAATCTTCTCATCACTTGCACTCTCGTGAAGTACATACTTTTATTCTAGTAATTTGGATGGCATAACATTTCAGGCAAAACTTTCGTGTTGTCCACCAAGTGTAATTTGTTCGATCTTGCTCGAGTCTCTTCGAACTTTGAGCTTGAAATTGGAAGTTGAACTTACCGAAAAGTTTTAAAGGAATTTCTTCAAAATGATGACCGAAGTTGAAGGCAGGAATCATTACAAAAATGTTGTTCAGATTCAGCTCACGCTACATTAAAATGATGACCGAAGTTGAAGGCAGGACTCATAATAAAAATGTTATTCAGATTCAGCACACGCTAAATCAAAATGATGACCGAAGTTGAAGGCAGGAATCATAACAATAATGTTGTGCAGATTTAGCTCACGCTACATTCATACAACCGTTTCGCTGGTGGTGCAGTGATCGCTCGAAAATCGGAATTGTTCGGCTTTCAAAATAGGGGACTTTTGACATAATTAGTTCAATAAAATGGCCCCTAATTTGTTCCAAGCTTCGACCCAAATCAAAACAAAGTTTTCCAGTTAATCGAAACTATTTGATAACAACCTAAGCAGCATGGGTGGAAAAATAATAAACTGTCGCGTTTTTTCTCGTGTATTGATCAAGATTTCATACAAGAATACAGCAACGAACTTTCTAAGCGCGTTAGGCTATCATACTGGAACAGTCGTAAGAATTATTCACTGTTAGTAATACCAAAATATAAATCCGTTGAGTAGTTCATTTAACTATGAATTCGCGATTTAATTCACCAGTGACGATTGTACTGATACTGACGTATTGCCAAGACCGAAAAGTAGTACTATACATCGCCGTACTATAAAAAAGCATCGCCGTACTATAATTACGCACTAGGAATGCAAGAATTTAGCGCAACTCGCGACGCCGGACCTCGACATTGCTGCGTAAATAACTGACATGATTTACGTGAGGTCAGCAAACAACCATCGCCTCCAACTCCACTGCCTGGCATGGATGCCATCAACATCTGCTTAATGAGAGTAATGTGAACTTTACTTAATTCCTACTTGATTTTAAGCGACATGAGAAAGATTTTAAGTCAAGTTTTGACTTGTTTCAATTATACATTACCGGTTAATTTGAACAAAAATTTAATTTAATTTAGCGGCAAGGAAGTTATCAGTTATGAAATTATGTTCTTGCCAACAATTAACATTTCATAGGTACAATAAAATCAGCAAAGTTGGAAATAGGCACAAAAGCTGCTTAGAGAACACCTTCAGGAACAGAGAGGGCGGTTTCGTCGCACTCGTTCACTGTAAAGAGCTACAGGATATCGTATACAAGTTGCAGTGTACATGGTCGCATGCCAAGCATCGAGAGTAGGGCTGACAATTTTGTCTGGTACGAGTCAATCAGCGTCGTAAGGCGGCAACCAGCTTGGCTGGTATTGAGAAAAAACACATAAATTTCCTGTCGTAATTATTTTGAATGAACAACATCAGAGCGCAATGCAATTTTCTGCATTTACATGAAAATGGATGAAATAAACACAAAAAACAATCCGGTTTTTACGAACTAAAATAAGTAAGACGCAGCTCTCAGGCATATAATACCGACTAAATGAAAACCAAATATACACTTGCAAATGATCATCGACTGGTTCAATAACTAGAGTCGATTTCGTCCTCGGTCTCGTACTTTGTACTAATACGAGGATACTCGTATACTCGCACAGGCATTTTAGCAGCATTGGAGCAAACAAATTACAATAAGCAGAATTGGTATCACTACAATCCACTCGTCATTGTTGGATACTATTGATGAGTGCACAATCTAGAATGAAACAGAGTCACACAATCTAGAATGAAAATTTGAACACGTGTCGGATCCACTAACATGTTTATGCCAACAATAACGTTGATACTAAACACTCGGTAGGCCTGAACGTTGATGCTATCTTTTTCTGTTGATTCAACGAATAAATCGGTTAGAGGCCTGAAAATGAAAAACTAAAGAGAAAACATTTGTCTTGTGAAGGCAGTTAGTTCTAAGACTAAATTCATGGACATTACCAAATAAACAACTCCAAGCTCCTGCAAAATACAGAACGCTCCTAAAACGCTCAACAAGTCCACATAATTTAGTATTTTACCATAGTGCAGTACAGGGCAGCGAGATATTCTGGATAAAGCTTTGGACTCGCTCCACATCCATCTATTACAAAAAAGTTCGATATCCTCGCTCCAGCCATGACGGGGATTAAATCCTAGTGACAAGTTGTATTTTTCAGGTATGGCAGTCACGTTCCGCGGCGGAATATCTGGAATTGTTTCTGTAATTTTAACGCCATTGAACAAAACCGAAAACAATTTCTGTACATTGGCTTTTAAATACGGGCTTGTTGCTTGAACCGACACAGCTGGTGGCAGCCTCGTCTTCACTGCAGTCGCCAAGGACGTGATCGACTCGTCAGAGTTACAGAGATTTTGACAGCAGCTCACATCCTCAGGTTCTCGGCGTCCGCGTACTCCTTCCCTTTCTTTAGTAGTACTAACGCCACCCTGAGGATAAATTTTCCTGTTTAGATGTATGAAGTTTCGTTCCTCTCCTGGGGGCGAGTCACCGCAACTTGATCCAATTATTCTGAACCTTCGAACATTACCATTGACACTTGCATATCCATTGCAACGAAGAGCACAATCCCCAATGGCTTCTCCCTCACCACAGCAATTATCAGTACCACCGCCGCAACAATCACTACCATCATTTTCATATCCGCTGCTAAGACTAGAGCCACGATCGCAAGCCCTTCTACCTCCACGGTAGCTTCCACCACCGCCTCTTCCTCTACTTCCACGTCTTTCTCCACCCGAGTAGCCACGACCGCTCCCTCCTCGACCTTCTGAGAAGTTGCCATGACCATATCCTCCTCTACCTCTGGAAGCGCTGCCACCGAAACCTCCTCCAGAGCCACCACCGCCGCCACGTCCTCTTCCACCACCGCCGCCGCCACGTCCTCTTCCACCATCGCCCCAGCGGTTGCTGGCACTGGGGCGGGTCTTGATGTTCTTGGAGGCCTCTTCGGCCCAGCGCTTGAAGTGCGGCACGGTGCACACTGGCACGTTCGAGGCGTACGCTTTGATCGAGAGGTTGCGATCTGCCGTCAGCAGGACGGCCTCGCATCGCACGTGCACTACAGCATCTGCAATGACAACAAAAACTATAATAACATTTAATGACCTTTTTTAATTTTAATTTAAATTAAGGCCCTGTCAAGCCTAAATACTCTAACAGCTGACTAATTAAAAGGCATAACATTGGTTTATCCATGGGTATATTATTGGTCTCTAGTGCAGACTAGGTATGAATGAAAACACTTTTGTGAAAACTAGCTATCCGAATACAATCTTTTCCGACTGCTTCCAAATGAATCTCTGTCAAATATTTTGCAATCAAATAATTTCCCGAATTTCCGCAAAGTCATTGAAAATTGAAAAAATTTGATTTTTAGTGTAATTACGATTTCAGTGTTTAATTATCGAAAGTAAACCAGAGTTAATGCTCTCGAAACTATATCCATTATTTACTTATATTGATGAACAAGATTTGACAAATCGATTGATACTGAAGTATACCGGGGGGAACATAGACGTTCTTTAAGCCTCATAGGCATCAGCATATTACAGAGTGACGACCCTTAGACCTACGCTTGACGGAGGTTGCCGACGCACGGATGTGACTGTAGGTTTCTTTTTCGCACTTTATTCCACTTTCAAAATAGTTATCTACATTACACATTTTGTTTGCGACGGAGATGATACCGTCGTTCATGTTTAGATGTTACCGTTATTCATGTCCATAACACCCGCCGTACAACCAGAGGTCGTCGCTCGCGCATCGCTGTAATACACTGGTGCGCAAGAGGCTCGACTATCCTAAATTTGATTTGTGTTATTCTTCGAATATCAACTCATAAAGTAAGAGGAAGTACTTTCTCATAAAGTAACAGGAAGTACTTTTTCAAAATTAACATCTCAATAATCCAGGCTAACACTTAAAATTACAATATTTCACAGTAAAAATGGCAAATAAAAATAAACTTGCAATAGGATTTAATCGGAAATTCTTTCGAAATGAATTCATTTAAGACGTGTTTAAGGAAAGAAACTTAGTTAATGAATTTTCATAAAAGAGTAATTTTCGGTCCGTTCTGGCGTGCATATTTGATTGTTATCGAAGAGGAAAAATGTGCCATGGTGATAAAGGCTCTTTAAATAGTTTCAGTTCTCAGTAATGAAATTGTTAACTTCCAGCGAAGATAATGCGATCGCTAGCGAGGGTAACCCTGCACCAGTCTCATCAAAATTACCCGACTCTCAGGACTCAAATGAGATGGATTTTTTGATATTCCTTCACTAGTTTCACTAAAGCCTGAATAATCAACACTCATTTCTTAGACACGGATCATTGTATTAGTATCACTCGTATGATATTATTCAGCAAGAATCACCCAGCGAAAATAAAACACAATTCTCGCTCCATAGCGTCGCGCAACCAATAAAACTCTACAAATAACACCCTACCATATATTACCCGTAGCAAAAAATAGCAACACGGTTCATAAATGTGAAATTATAGAGGTAAAGCTATAATTAGGATAACAGCTGAACCCGTTCTCAAATTTTCGCCCCAGCGAACAAGACAGCACCGGCGTCCGTCAGTCGCGTGCTCTGGATTTTGCATAGTTGTAGGAAATAAACGTGTTTGATCAACGTAGGCAACGTTTTCTGAACGAAGACTTGGTTTGTAACATTGTATCAGAAGAATTTAGCTTCATGCACGTATGGAGGACACCTTTGACGATAAATGTTTTACAATTGTATTAAAGAGTAGGCAGACAGTGACAAGATCGTTATACGTAATTACCCTAATTTAAGAAAAATGAACGTTTCGAATGCACCGCTGGTACGTTGCTTAGGAACGACAGCGAGATTACGCTTCATATTGAATTGCAACGTTCCAATTGTTAATTCTAATTCGTAAATACTAAATTCAGCTTTTGGTAGTAAAGGAGCATGCCTATAAGGAGCATGCCTATATGTGAAAAGATAATTATCGCGAATGATATTTTCATGACAGAGAACCGAAACAGACAAAACCGAGAAAACTCAATACTTATGAAGAGCAAATAAAATATGGGTTTACAAGTCTCCGTTGGGCAGGTATTGCGAGCTCCAGTTAAATACGAAGTTAATGAGCTCATGTCAGACAACGCAGCCCGTTTTGACTACGAGCCGCTCACGGCTCATGCGATCTGTTCTCGTGCTGCCGAGTGGACATTCTGTTTCTTGCCAAAATACAGTATTTGTGTTATTTAATGGTATAGGTCAGCCGATAAGACGTCGTAAAAGCTGGGTTTTCACGCCATTTTTCGAGGAGTTACTCGATTAGCAGTATTAAAATGGCACAGTTCGGGTGGCCACTATTTATACAGCAGGCCTATTAGTGCAGTTATAGCTAGGGAGCTTGCGGATTACCTGAGAGTCACCTTAGCCGACTCGATTGGCAGTATTAAAATGACACACTTCCGATGGCCACTGATTCGGGCCTATTTGTGCAGTACTAGTAAGTAACTAAGGAGCTTGCGGATTACCTGAGAGTCAACTTAGCCGAGCTAAGGCGAAGCAAGCGTTACTGCATGATTGTACAGGAAGTCTCACCTGAGGTCGCTGTCCGAGACTGGTCTACGACGCAGAAATGCTGACATGATGAGAGAATTTTGTCGTCATTTGTCATTTCCTGAGGGAGAAAGTCACAGAAAATTAAGACTAGATCAGTATAGAGATGCGGAAATATTTCGAAAACCAGTTTTGTAATTCCATCACAATTCAATTTCAGAATAATTCAATTCCAGAAATAGCCCGGTCAAAGGGATGAATTTTGGCAAATATACGAATAATTTGAAAACAAAATAAAAATTATTCGTTGCTTTTAGAAATTATCACAATTGTATAATTATGGTTGACTTATTAAATTTTAAAAGGTAACCAATAAAATGATCATGAGAAATATCGTAAAAAGAGACAAAAAATCACAGGACTGTTAGCAGGAATGCTTAGCACCCTAGGAGCTAAGAAATCCACAAATCCAGCTAAAACAGATCCACAAAAGCAACGAAAACTCGACAATAAATTCATAGTTTACTGCAGGAATATTTATAATGAGCAGGACATGGGAGTATTCTTACGTCTACTATGGCCTCCTGGAAATCAGAGGACGTGAGGATGTTGCCCTGCGTGGTGACGGCTCGGATGTTGTGGCGCTTGGAGCGCACAAACTCCCGCGCCTGCCGAGCCCACTGCGCGCGCGACGCTCCGTCCACAACCTCGCCTGCCTCCGCCGTGTCGTCCGCACCGCGCGACAAGCCCTCCAGCTCGCTCACCACTGGACGGCGTGGGGCAACAAGAGAGTTCAAGACAACAGCGAGGCAAGCCCTCCAGCTCGCTCACCACTGGACGGCGTGGGGCAACAAGAGAGTTCAAGACAACAGCGAGACAAGCCCTCCAGCTCGCTCACCACTGGACGGCGCGTGGCAACAAGAGAGTTCAAGACAACAGCGAGACAAGCCCTCCAGCTCGCTCACCACTGGACGGCGTGGGGCAACAAGAGAGTTCAAGACAACAGCGAGACAAGCCCTCCAGCTCCCTCACCACTGGACGGCGCGTGGCAACAAGAGAGTTCAAGACAACAGCGAGACAAGCCCTCCAGCTCCCTCACCACTGGACGGCGTGAGGCATCACAGTAACAATAGCAGCGAGACACGGATACGAGTTATCCAATGCAGTGAACAATGGTTTTATTTTTTAAAAGTTTTATACTGAGCACGCAACGGCATTTATCAATTCGAGTGCATGCGAGAATAAAAATAAGTTAGTAGACTCACTTCAAAATGTTAACAAATACATTCCATAGAGCATCACTCCGATCACAGTAATTTTCATTCCTCATTAAACTGAAACGACTTGCAGCATCTGACATGTAACCTTGAAGTGTTAGTCGAGTAAGATGCATACTGTTGGTATAAAAACTGGACTAATCCACGATGGAATTTTCTTAAATTGTAGAATTTATGAGAAGAAAAGCTCACCAACGAGAGGCACGAGAAGAGTGTAGGGAGATGGCGGGGTGACGAGCTCTGTGAGGTACGGTAGGTGTGTGATGAAGCAGTTCGTGTCGGGCATCACATAGCGAGGCCGCACCTCCAACTCCACACCAACACCACGCATTGATCGCTGCTACAACAAACAAAAAAAAAAAAACGCTTTTTCACCAGTTAGTTACAAAACAGCGATTTTGATCGTAATGGTTACTACAGAAATTTTAACTAACATTAGTATGTATAGGACCTATAACTTCTCAATTCATAGCTGCATTTTGTTGTGACCATTCATACACATACAACTTACACATTCAAGTAGCCGTGGGCATGGATGCCGCTCTCTTAAATACATATAAGCTCTCACAAGATATGTTTATAACTATTAATTATGAAAATTATAAACACGTTTCCCCACTTTTGCCGGACAAATTAGGCTTTACTTCCAGCATTACATATATCATTAGAATTATCACAAAGAATTGAGATCAAAGAAACGCTATGTAAAATCACCATTTATTCGTAGAAAACGTTCCGGATACCAGCTCCATCATCAGTTAAAAACATTACAATTACACGTTCGACAATACAATTATGTACAATTAGCAGAGAAAATCCAAAATTACACAGAAGAAAATTAAACTTTAAAGAAGAAAAAATAACAACGAAACATAAAAACATATCGACCCATGAATTCAAATAGGCTAAAAATTTTAAGCGTTAATAAGGCAAAGTCTTAGAATATGCAGTGATTCCAAAATCCTCAAATCCCGACTAGCCGAATTTTCGAGAGGAAGCAAGTATATCGAAATCGATCTCCGACAGTCACGTCGCACCGTTAAGCGTAAAGGGACATAGCAGAGAGGCGGTTAGACAAGCAGCAGATCAGAACGATAACTCCTGCCGCAGTGTTCGACTAGTCGGATGTAAAAATCACACGACATCATTCTGACGTACGCTGATGCGCACAGCGCACAACTGTATTCAAATATCAGGGAAGACCTCATCTGGCAGGAATAAACACCCTTTACCTGAAGAGGGGACCAATTTGGAAATAATTACCAGTAAACTAACATAAACATTCGGAAATTATTTTAAAAATTAGATGTTAAATTTTCTGCACATAGTTTCATACGAACTACCTGAGTTGCACAAACTACAATAAAAAATTTCCTACGATTAACCTCAATAAAAGATTTAGAATATCTATTAGACCCTCCAAAAAAAATTTTATTTTACTAGAAACAAGGTTCTAAAGAAACCCATTCAACTGATATTCTCAGGCGCCATGGAACTATAATTTACTGTACAATAAATATTAAGAATGATTTCGAATTCAGAATGAATATCATGGGAGGTGAAATAAATTTTATAGCCGCGGTGTATTAAGGTATGAAGACCATTCAAATACGAACAAAATAAAAGAAAAAAGCTAAAGAAGCTCGTGTGCTATCAGCTGGTTGACAAAACATGAAGGTATGAAAATACAGCTTAAACGGTTTGTGTGTAATCGATATTCTGAATCTGTTATTGGGGTTAACAGTAGGGAAACCTATTCTTTGAACTTAATTCTACTATGGTAGCACGTCTGAACAATGTTCAGAGAATTAACGAATTTATTTCTGAACGATTTTTAATATGCTGACTTTTACTGGTGAAAAATTGATTGATAATAATAATTGATTGATTTATTCTTCAGTATAATGACGTTTTTGATGCCCGGATGATGTTCTACTAGATTTATGAATAATGCTGGTGCAGTGCGCATCAGCTACGTCTGAATGTTACGTAAATTCTACATCCGAGTTGTCGAATACAGCGACAGAGGCTGTCTTGCTATGTGGGTTGCCGCTCGCCAACTCGTCTGGCCTCTGCATGCTGTTCGCCTTCACGCTAAACAGTTCGACGTGACTGGGTCGAAGAGCGATTGCGAAATACTTGGTTCCTGTTTCAGTTGTTCGTTTTCAAGGATTTTGAAATAACTGCACATTTTTAGACGGAAACCTTGCATTAATAACTTAAATATTCTTATCCTCTTGAAACTGTTCATCGATGGGTGTTTATTTTCCGTTATCGGGTTTTCGTTTCTTACGTTTTGATCTCTTTCCTGCAAATTCGGGTTTTATCGACTGGTTGTACTTGGATTCTCTCAATTCTGAAACTGATAGGTAATGGAGCTGGTCTCCGAAACGTTTTCAATGATGATATGCTGAATATATTTTGCGTTTTATTTGCTTCTGAATTCTCAACAAGCCCTTAATTAAGGTTTTATAGAATTCTCCTTCTGACTGCGAAGTCGATAAAAAATTCCCACTTATTAATTATCGATGAAGAGCGATCAGAGGGAATTTGCGACTACCACAGCCACGCAACAGTGCGGCCTTCCACCCACTCCTCATTTACAACATCCATAAACACAGCAGAAGTCACCCGCCTACCTTTTCTCTCTCTGCGCGGCGCCGGCGTTTGTCGAGCTGGCGTTTGCGCTGCCACAGCGCGCGCAGTGTAGCGCTCATGCCGCCCGCTGCGCCACCTTCGTCGGCAGCGAGGTTCTCCTCTCCATCATCGTCGCTGTCGCTCGAGTCCTCTTCCACGATGTCGTTCTCAGGAGGAACGCGCGAATCCTGGAATAGGAATATTGCAGGGCTTTTTATTAAAAGTTATACAAGTTTGAAGTCATTCAAAGCCACTACAGTTTACGTTTTTAAACCTCTTGAGCAACGCTTTCACACCTTCAGTTAGGGCAGCAAAGCCTCCACGCCTTGTCAAGGCGACAATGCCGGCACCAAATTTCGTCGTCCCGTTCGTAGCAACAACGGGTTATACTTTCACCGTTTTTCATGTCAATTCATAAGAATCTTATGGGATAGGAATCTTTGATTATCTAATTATAATAATATCAAACACAGGATTAGCGCGACGATCTACGTAAAATGCTTGCACTGGTGTTATTAGGAAAGTCAAAGCCGCGCATAAGGACTTAGAAAACTTGAAATAGGGACACACTGATGCTGAAATAGTTCGATAGTAAGCATTCGCTGCATACTAGGCGAAATGCAAGGGAATGCGACAGTTACACACAAGAAAGTCTCAGCAGTCGCTTGAGAAGAAGCGTATTGGCGAGAGAATCCCGGAGCTGAACGCATGAAAGTCCCCTATAAAATTTTTGGCTCCAGCTAGCCTCTGGCTCAGAGTAGCCCCCCAAGCTCTTCTTTGACAGACTTGAATTAGCGGATCTACGTCCGCTTTACGATATGGTTGTCGCCTGATTATAATCTGGTCCATTATCAGAAGTCGTCGGAAAGGAGGTGCAACAGCGAGGGAATGCTGTAGCTGCACGTAAGAAAGTCTCAGCAGTCGGTGGTCCATATTTGTGCGGTAAAGACGAATATCAAACACTCCGCTGTTTACGAGTCGATAAAACTGTCAACCTTTGCAAGGTGATTCAACATACTAAAGCGGTGTTCCTATTTTGTCAAAACCACGACGGGTGAAATTGTCCACGCGGTCAACTACAAAACATTCGAATTCAAACATTCGATCACGCGTAAATATAAAATTTTCTAATTCCAGATTGAACGTACAATTCTTACCTGGCAACAAATAATTGTACAACAGGAAAGTAACACTAATAAAGTTCAGTGATAGACGAATTTTTGTGAAGTCTAGCAAAGTAACAAATCTTTATGATGGCGCATGAATTGAAATTTTTTGGGTCTCTTTCCGGCGGCAAATTAGAAGCCAACAAGCGGCCACATATCATATTTCTATCGTAAATTTGAAGAATGGTGGAAATCCCTCATTGATTATTTGCAATTAAAGTAATATTAACCTGATTTAGATCCTTCTAAAGTCATAGTAATTATCATGTTTTTTTAATGCTTTTCAGAGGAGTGGTGAATGAATCAAATATCAATATAATCTCAACTAAGAACCTGACCAGAAAAGGCAAGACTTCGAAATGCAAGGTGCAATATTTATTCCTATTATTCCTGCTAAAGATAACTACCAAAAAACTGGTTACTATGTCATTCAACGAAACTAGACTTAATATAGAATTTGATTTATTCGTCAAAATGATGTTCCATGCGATAATTATAAGATAATAATAATAATACTCACGAGGGTTGAGGGAGCGCGAATGTCCGGGGAAGGACAAGGGGAAGAGACCGCAGGGAGGAACACGTCTCCTTGTGCAGTTTTCTGCAGCCTGAGCACAGGAGGCTCCAGGCCACACATGAACTTGCCCAGCACCGTCTGCAGCTGCTGCAGCCGCACCCAGTCGCCTGCACGGCTCTGCGGCGAACGGCGACCAACACTTATAGTAATACGTATTACTATATACGTACTATTATTATCATCTGGTTTATATTATTATTATTATAAGTATTATTATTATTGTCTGGTCGTATTATTATAGTAATAATAATACGACCAGAACTTATAGTAATGTCATTATTGGTAGCGTTATAAGGGCTCTTTTGTTTCCTAGCGATTCGAAGGTAGTGCGCACCGGAGGACAATATTTTCAACAATGGGGAAAGAGTCTATCAGCATACATTTCTTAACTCAAAAATATATCATCGCCATGTTCTTGTTCAGACTGAACCTTTGTCAGGGTAGCTGCCAAATGGAAGTGAAGGGATTTATGAATATATACAACTCGGCTCAACAAATGAGACTGGCAGTCAGATTCCACGGGCTCTGTCATGGGAAGCTCAGGAACAATGTCACCACGATAGCAAATTGCATGGAACTCCAAACAAATCAAAACTAAAGTCAGAAGACGCCTTTGTCACACTTCCACATCTAGATTGAACGCGACAACGGAAAGCTTGGCGAGGGTTTTTAAAATTTAAAAAACGATCTAGCTTTTTCTCTTTTTATCTATCTCGACAAATATTCCGACTTACTTGAAAGATCCTGTAGGACAGAATTTATCAAAATTTAAATAGTTGAGGCATCCAAAATTTAAGCCGATTAGTTTTGCTCGACGAGAGCTCATTCGTTCACGCGGTACTGGAAGCGCTCAAACGTTAGGTAATCAACTTATCATGGGTAAGTCGTATGATGGTTCCCGCAAATTAAGATGACAGTTGAGAACTTATTATATGTACGGATCTCACATAGTGACCAATAATACAAAGACCAACCTAGGGCAAATATGGCGCATTCGGAAAAAAGCTCAACGGATGGCCATGGACAGTCATGAGAATCCGAAGAGAATACATTATCTGGAAGACTGTTCATGCGTCAGAAGATTTGAATAAATTCTCGAACAGGTCTTCCACCTACTGCAACAGTGATAAGGTATGATATACGACATTCGGGCCATCGAACAAAATTTCCCCTGCGGTTCAGCCCGCAGCGCTATAGGGATACAAGATTTGTCCCTTGTTTCAGCTGCGCTAGGGATAAGGCCTAACCTGCAACATGCGAACACAATAAGACTCACAAGTGCAGCAGGGTCGTCGGTGAGCATGCAAGGAAGTTTCTGTGAGGCAAGCAGCGGGTCGTAGCCTCTTAAGAATTTATCTTCTTCCAGCGTAATGGGGACAAACTTGTCGGTTTGCCCTCCGGCTGTCACTTCGTCTGTGTAGATGGCCACATCTGCTTCACTCAAACCATGAAGGACGGTCGCTAACTCCGCCACACATGACCAGCTATCAAACCATCTGTTAGGGATAAGAGTTGAACACATGAAAACCATGCCAAAATATGCGAGCATGAGAGTCCTTTATTTTATGACCTTCTGAGGGTAGTGGATTATCCTCGTACAAAATTGCACGACAAACAGAAAATGAAGCCTTGACGTGGCTGATAGATCGCGTTTCGCTAGCTGTCGGAAAGTACGTCAGCACAAACTAGAAAATTGAAAATATTTATCACCTAATTTTAGACGAGAGAACAGAAAAGAAACGATAACGGACAATTGACTCACTGAGAACTGTAGTCGGCGTTGCTTGGAGGGGGATGCCACAAAGGGCTGTTGTAGAGTAACCAGTCGCACCACACCTGGACACAGGAAGCATCACCACCATCAACATCATCTCCAAAGCTCAGTTAAAGAATAAAAATAACCTGGGCCCATACTTTCAAAATAACTCAAGAGATCGTAAGTTCATCAGCCAATCATTGACGGCCTTTCAAGCAAAATCCTCCAATCATAGACATGAAAATAGAGCGTAAGTACTTACGTTCACTTAGCGAATTTTGAAAGTATAGCCCCCGATTGTAGGACAACACGCCTGATTTTTTATTTCTGCGCCACATACTCATAATCAGCTTCTAAATGTAAGGAAAAGTGATAGTTTCCCTTCACCCTACTGGTCGGATGTATTAACAAATAGAAACTACCTAAAATGTACCTTACCCATTGAAAGAGTAATTTAATGCATAATGATTTCAAAACGTTTAGAAATGTTTAGATCCGAGGGAAAGACAAAATCAGCTCTACAACGACCATCAAGAAGCTAAACAGTCTGTTGAAAAATAATAATTAGTAGGTACGTTTCCGTGTAGTTAGCTCGAGCTTAGTGAACAAACGACGTGAGGAATCTTATAAATTCTTGGACAAGAATGACAAGAAAACACTGATATCTGGAATACTTTCTGATAAGTGTTAATATTATTTGAAACCGCTTTAGAATAATTCCAACACTGATACCTTGAGTGCTGGCACGAGATGAGCTGCAGCGGGCAGTAGTAAACGCGGCATCTGTTGAGGCAGCGCAGGCGGCTCTTCGGCTTCATCCAACAACCAAGTCATGCCCGCCACGTCAAAAGGATCACTCGCCGGGGCTGGTGGGTTCTGGGGCACTCGCGTGTCACGGGGCTCGCAAGAAGACGCCGTGCGATTACGAGAGGAGCGAAGGCCGAAGCTCTGATCCGAACTTGAACTGATGCGACGAGATGTTGGTTCCGAGGGACTGTTCCCCGGTAAACTAGTCCTCTTCACGGACTCTGGCATTATGGGTGAAGAACAGGACACATCTGGACCGAGGGAAGTGTCTTGAGAAGTTATGTTTAGGTTTGAGTTGATGCTATGAGGCATGACTGCAGCGACCCGTTCAGCCAGACGTCCGAACATTTCTTGGGAGAGCAGGAGGGCCAACTCCTGAGCTGCTGAACGGTAGCCCTGGCCCAATCGTGTGTCTGCAACAACTCAACATAAGTTCACAGTCGCTGTTTGAGAGGCACTGATTAGTGAATAAACTGACGCCACAGCGAAAGTGGGCCTACAACTTGACTAAAGTCGCAAGAAGATATAAGAAATTAAATATTCATTCTTATTAAAAATTCCCAATCAATAATTTTGTTGTATCGGCTATAGAAACAGGAAAAATTTTTAAGGGAATGGCGCTGAAGTGAGATGAATTTGTCATGCATTCACATAAATAATAAAGCAACTGGATTGAGAATATAACTACTTTTTCCGCACCACAATAACAATAGAGAGTCTGTGGCAAAATGAGAGTTGAATCTATTATGTCAGGAAAATAACTCGTTCGTTCGGTGGATTCGTATGCCTTTCCTCGCATTAAATTACACAATTGCAAAAAAGCTTGTCAAGCTAAAAAGTCAAAAACAAACGATGAAACAAAATCAGCAACACGCCTTGGCCTGAAAACTGAGATACGCTACAATGAACAAAAAGCTAATTCGACGGCGTAGGTTATTGAGTCAAAAATGCAGGGTTTATTTGAAAACAATAAAAAAATATGAAGCAAACAACGGTATAGAGCACGCCAACGCCCCCGAAACTCATTCGCAGCCGATTCATGTCGGTTCGCGGGCTTACATATCGAACCGCCAGCGCCGGGTTGTCGGCTAACCGATAGTTGCAAGAAGTTATTGCGAATTCAGTAAAAAAGTAGTGGTCGGTGCCACAGCGAGTCGCAGCAGGCGGCAGTGGAGTTATTTCACTTCATTCCTTTCCCTGAATATCTTATCGAACCGTAAATTCATCTTGCGTAATTCAACATATTTTCGAGTTTTATTGAGGGACTAAAAGGCTCTCTGGCATTTCCGCCAATCAATTGAATATCTCTAACGTATATTTCGTCGATAAAAATATACCGATAATCCTTTATTACATTTACTGAAACCTTAAACTCTGGTTATCCTCGTTTCCTGGGCATGGCGATTTTTTTTTCTTCATAATAAAATAATATAAACTTGACATTGTGAGCTGATGTTTATTTCTTAAAATAATCAAAATCTTTTGAATATTTAATAGTTAGAAGTAGATGTAATTTCTCTTCTCAAAAGTGATTGCATTAAGCGGAGTTTTCTTTTTTTGTGGTACCTTTTGCGAAATAATAATTCGTTGATATGTAGCAAAACCAAACATAAAACTATCTAAAATTAAAAACTAATATGCATAGAGTTTAATTTCACTAAATATGAGAAAAATAGCTGTCCTACCATGATGACGCCCGGTTACGTTTGGACGAAAGCCAACTGACAAAAAACTGACAAATTACAAGACGACCTGACAGTAGGTTACAGTTTATAACAAATAACCTGGAGCTGCCCATTGAAGAGTCGAGAAAATGAGAGTACTAATTAGTTTACTGAAGTAGTGAGTTAAATCAAAGAATGTGTAAGAACCTGTGCAATTAAGAGAGCGGTGGCTGAGGCACTCGTAAGTTCAACTATCGCAGTGTAATGCAAGAGTCAAGGAAATGCGAACATTGACGTAGGCTGCATGTAGAAGGAATGGAACAGAATTCTTAATAACATTCACATTGTATGAATATGCGAAAGGTCCGTACGTAAATAACTAGCTTCAATATTCCGACGTTCTTAAATATATACTGCATGCAACGTTGTAACGTTAAATTGTATGCCTCTCATTCTACTGAAGTCTAAAGCCAATCTTGCATCTCGTTTCAATTCCTTCCTGAACCATGACGTCTCAGTCGCGACAACACGCTCCAGAACCTGTATTAATTAAGACATAATAGAAATGAATTTACCGTCCGACCATTTTACTCATTAAAAAAATTAAATAAATCGTTTTTGGGGCGAGAATTCTCAACTAATTTTCAGATAACATTTTAATGTGACAAGGTTTTGCTCGTTACCGGGAAATAAGAGTACAAGCATTTTTAGTGCCTCTTCGATAGGTCACGATTTAATCGATGTAAGCTGTGTAAAAGATAGAATAAAATTAAAGCTATTGCATTAAAAATTGGTGTTAAGTAGCCCAATAGGACATCTCATTCAAATCATGAAAATGACACGAAACAATCAGAGCAAGTAGCGCGCCAGTTTGAAGATATTTTCTCAAACCAAGCGCAAGCTACTAGATAAATAATGGAGTAGAAACAAGATTATGAGGAAATTTTCAATATTTCGCCTTAGGAAAAGGTGCAAAGAATGGAAGTGAACTTGCTGTGCAGTAAAAAAACGTAATTTAAATTGAAAGTCATCCTTTTATCGTCGTAACCTTGCTGAACAGGATCTGCAACTTACCAATGCACGAAAAATTAATAAGTTACGTTTCAACTCGGCGTCAATTTGGCACCGGTTACATTTTAGACCTTATTAAGTGTATAAGAGATTTTCTACATAATGTGAACATCTACGATCTACGAAGCAGCCGAATTGCGAAGGGGTTAACGACTCATTAACATATCCACTCACGATTCCCTTTCCTAATGACTACTTAGGCAAACGAAAATTGCCCGATGCTTGGGAATTGTACCTCAACATCCTTGACATGCGTATCATCAAGATTAATGCCAAACGTTTTCGGTAACACAGAACTAATCAAAATTTCACCAGTAATTTGTAAGCCATCTTGGCCACAAACCACGAACGCTGAACTCGAGGTTAGTGAAAAAAAAAACATCACGAACATTGATGAGACGCTTCCTGTCCTGTGACCGCAAACGGTTATTTACTGCATTGAAACGGCAAAGCCATCCTTCTCAAAACATAGGTGAAGCATTGCATACACAATGGGATAGAAAGTGTGTAGAAACTATTAACAAAACCTTACGAGGCAGCAATACTTAAATTGGAAGCATTTCATTTATTTTATATTTGTGATTGTAGTTTAAAGTTTACGGCAGGCAAATGCTGAATTCTTATTGTGCAGAGGAAAGTCGGAGCGGAGGAAAGCCTCGGATTGAGACTTCGAGCCTCAATGCTCAGATCACAAGCGAAGACAGAACCAAAACTATATGGATGGTCAAAGTGGTTATTCACTCGTAGTCGCCAACATTCATTTGTTGTTATTAGACAGTGAGGCAATAAAATGTTTGAAAAGTTATGAGTCGGTGAGCTCACAGTGACCTCGTAAAGTCGAGTCGTACGGTCTTTCAGACGCCGGCAACACTAAAAAATAATTTTATAATCAGCGCTCGAGGAGGTGTGTACTGTAATGCAAGTACAGAGAAACGGTGTCATTCGGTTTTAATTATGGCCCATGTCTACATCATAAAATGATATAGAAAGCTCTTTAATTTAGGAATTGGAAACAACATTTCACTGAATTTAAAGAGCGATGCCAATTTTTCTTGGTCTCGCTACTATTCAGCTCGAACATCACTCCATATGGCATTCTCCCAACCTCGAAACTTTATTTAGCAGCAAAACGGCTTCCGAGCGAAAATTTTATCAATATTAGGCGAAAATGGCGTACGAACATCTTTGGGCTGGTACAAACATTTTTTTTAGTCATTTAGACACGTTAGCGTCTATGCTCAACGCGCATAGCGTCTATGCTCAACGCGCATAGCGTCTATGCTCAACGTGCATCTTCTTTCAGGGCACAATTTTAGAATTTTCAGAGCAAAATCTCCAATTGACCCGGTACAATTATAGCTAAAAACTCATGTATCAGCAAACGATTGCACGCGATGTAGTAAGCGATCCCAGAAACGGTCCATATATGGCAGTACAATGTTACCAGGTTTGCATTTATAACCTGACGAGCCATGGGATGCTGCAACTCGAAGCGGATGAGAGGGCGAACCTGCAGGAGTAACTCGCACCGAGCAGGATCAGCGCGGAGAAAAAATTACGAAATTAAAACTTCAATTACACCTCAACTTTATTCAATGCAAAGGTACAGAGGAAACAGTTAAAAAATAATAAGTTTGACTTCTAATACCTCACACTAACGAGGAACGAGCTGAAAATATTGAATCTGTAATTGTTGTGCTGCATTAATATTCTTCAGAGAAAGATAGTAGAAAAGATAGAAGTGCAGCGGGGTGAGCCAGCACAAGACCGCTGAGGAGGCGGCCTAGGAGGGCGGAGCTGTAGCAGGAAGAGCCAAGGACTGCGGCAAGGCCATCGGCCGCAAGGTCACGCAAGGATGCCTCACAAAGGGCGCCAAGAAAGACGATGAAGTCATGAGTAAATTTATGATAGCTGAGAATAAAAACACGAAAAATACCGCACAATAAAGAAACTAGGAGAGCGGCCGTATTCAATTACGAGAACAACATTTGGCTGCTGCCAGAGAGGCAAGTTTTGTGAGTATATATTATGATTTGAGATGGTTTAGAATATTCACTTAGATTTACTTCAGCCGCATCTATATGGTGACATGAAGCAAAGCTCGTGCGCGCTTTCCCAAAGAAATGAAGAGCCATCGTTAGCAGCGCTGTCATAAAACAGCGTCACGCATAGGTGGCCACTGCATCTCAATGCGCCTAGCATATTTACTGCCACTGTCATGACAATAGCTAATCAGGAGGTGGCGTCAGGACGACCGCGCTCTTATATACGCCTTGACCATCAAAAAGAAGTACTGATGATCAAAGCCTTAGCTGTAATATTCGCTGCAGGCCGGTTACAGTCAGTACTTCAAGTTCTGCCGCGGTCATCAAGCGAATTGAACGGATATGAACAAGAGGCATACAGAACACTCGATGTGTTGGCAAACGTCACCTCATGAACAAGAGGCATACAGAACACTCGATGTGTTGGCAAACGTCACCTCATGACAAGAGGCATACAGAACACTCGAGGTGTTGGCAAACGTCACCTCATGAACAAGAGGCATACAGAACACTCGAGGTGTTGGCAAAGGCAAACGTCATTTCGTCATCTACTTGGGGGTGTGAGGGTAGTGAAATTGTCAGCATGACTGCACTGATAAATTACAGTAATTTCGTGTCCTCAACTTTACTGAG